GAAGTCATAGCCAAAATCGTAAACGACATACAATTCATGAGATTTTCCGAACTTTTTTGCGACACATAGTTTGGAATTCATTGGTTTAGATTCTTCTGCTCCCTTTAATATCTAAAAACTCCTTTTTTTTTAACTTAGGCTTCATTCTTTAAATCAAAATTTTTATTTCCACAAATATTAAGACATAAATGCACACATCAATAAAATTACCAAATAAACATTCTCAAAATGACCAAAACTTATTATTCACTGCATGTAATAATATTTTTGATTACTTTAGTTAATCAGATATCACCAATAAATGCGTCATACCAAAAGAATCCCCCACGATCCTTCATCTAAATTCCTCCGCATGTTTCAGCAATAATTCCCCATAATAAGTTTTATATGGGAATTGTATAGACAAAAAACTTTATTCTTTTGCTTTATTATTACACATACAGCAATAGACAAAGAATTTATTCATGAATCTACATACATAGTAGAGATCAACATCATCATCATCATCTCCTGGAATTAAGGACTTTAAATCTCAATTATTTTGAGAGCATCATCACATAAAACTGTGGTGAGATTAAGCAATAAAATTCACATTGTGCAGTAAGCTTTCCCCATTGTGCTTTGGTTTTATTTCATCTTTTTTTTTGTGTGTATGCTGCTGCTGGCTGGCTGGTTTGTTGGATAGCTCACAAGAATATAAAGAAAAGTCTCTCATTTTCTATTCCAAAAAATATTCTTTATTTCTCTGTGTTTGGACGATTACTGCTTTTTTTTCGTCTTCTTGCTGCATGCTCAAATGTGAGCAATTGAATGTGAATTTGTGAGTGGAGATAATGAAAGAATACACCGGATATATTTTATGGCACGTCCATATATTATTTTCACTCTACTTTTTATTGTAGAGTCTCTTTTAATGATCTCAACACATCCACAACATTGATTGCTCAATTTATTGAAGACAAAAGGATTTTTTTATTTTTCCTTTTATTTGATTGATAATTTGCGGGCGGATAAAATATTTATTTATTAAATTCACATAATAAATTCAATCAAAACCAAACGAATGAAATGAAAAGATTTTTCAATATTATTTTTTTATATTGTTGTTGACTGATGAAATTTACAAAATACTCAACTCATGTATGAAAATCAATTATTTTATTATTTTTCAAAAGAGACCTCACTCAAAAAAGAGCTTTTTTTATTGTTGAATACAGACATAAACAAATTTATTGCTGATTTAAATATTGAACATTTTTTAAAAAAAAATTGAAGATAAGTTGATGAGTTGTTTATTGAGTAAAAGGGTTGGGGATGGAACGCATTGAACTTTAGAGTAACAATAAGGATGTCTTTCACATATGAAATTTTAGAGTTCGTTGAGGAGATAAAGATTTGAAAGATCTTGTTTTACTTGTGATTTTTGAATAGAAAACTTAGCCTCAGCCAGAGCTCGAAGTCGACGAAATTTTGTATGGAAAGGATACAAAATCGATGAAAATCTCGAGTCAACTTCAAGCTATGACCTCAGTTTTGCTTACTATTTGCCTTTGAATTACACACAAGACATTTTAAAAACTTAAAATTTAATTTTTGTAAAACATCTCAAAAACCCAAAAATAATTTTTGAATCTATCCAATTAATTAGTTAAATAAAAGCTTTGCCGATTAATTCTTCGTAAAAAATTCACCACAATTTATTGTTGGTTCCAAATTTTCTGCGTAAATATTTCTTTTGATCCTTTTTAATGGACTAGTAAATATTTATGCAAGTCTTCATCCGCAAATTATGTCACGCTGTAAGAGGAAGGGTAAACAAAAATTTGTTTCCTAATGCAAATTTTTTAATATGGGCACATTTTATCCGTGACGTAATTTGCGAACGATCCATAATCACTTTCTTTTGAGTCATTAAAATTAATTAATGTGGTTATTAGCAGATTTTTGGAAATTAGCCTTTGATTTTGAATTTGTGGTTCATTGCTTGTGGACTGTTCACCTATGACGTCCAGGGGGGTGGGGGTCCTTAAGATTAAGATAATTTCGAACGTCATAAGTTGAGGATCTCTAATTCAAATTCTTACTTTTAATTCGTTAGCTTCAAAAACAATTCTTTCGGTTATCTGGTGTTAATGCAGTGTCCCAATATTTATGAAATCCCAAACAAATGTCTAGCATAGATAAAGTAGCACCATTTTTAAAATTATCACCCCGTTAAAGCTTCTCGTGACATTCCATATGATGGATTATGTAAATTAACTTTCATGACAATGCTTCTGACTCTCTGACAAATCCACTTAATATTTCATTTGCATCTGATACACAAACTCCTTGATTCAGTCAGTCAAACTGAAAAATCACTCCACCCCCAACATAAACAAGTCTTTAAAAAAAATTCACATCAAAATATTTATAAAGAAAAATATGCGAAAAATAAAATCAATGGAAAAAAAGCTTCTTTTTATGTTTTTTATTGAAATTCAATATTGAGTTGCATTGTTCGAATATCTATTTGTGAAAAAAAAGCGAAACTCAAACTCGAGTCAATTGAATGAAATAAAACTGGAAGGCGGGTGCTGATAAAAAAAAAGATTTTTTTATTGTCAGTTGAATATTTTTTGTTCGCTTTTAAATTTTAAATCATTTCCATGATTCATTCTTTGTAACTCGAGAAGTTTTAAGTCATTCGTCTATTTGCATCAAGTTTAAAGAGATCTTTACTAATGGAGAAATTTTCTGATGCTATAAAAAGATTAAAAGAAAATTTTGAAGAGTTGGTTGGAAAAGTTTTTTAAGTAATTGGATGGGAGCATTGAACTTTTTGATTTTCTGATTGAAAATGAATAGAATTTAAGATTGGTTTGAGATGATTGTAATAATGTATAGTTGTGACTGTGAATATCAGAGCTGTAGAATTTTCATATTTAATTTGTGGTTTAAAACTTTTCCGATTTCAAAGTTTAATTAACACAAACTTAATAAAAACGGGATTTTTTTTCACACAATATATTAAACAAGAATTCAAATTTAAATCCCATTAATACGAATTATTTTCAACCGAATAATTATCAATAATCCAATTGGATATTAACCAGCTCAACGCAAATGTAATGATTAATCAACGTATAATTTTTATAGAGCTTATTAAAGGCAAATATTTGCCATCAACTCAGGTAATTAAAACTGTATTTCTGGTTAATAAATTAAAGTTTACATAAATTCTCACTTTAAATGTGAAACAAAATAGGTTTAATAAATCATCAAAATAAATTACCGCAGGAATTAAAAACTATTATAATATTTGCTGGTTAAATGATATATTGAAATTTATGTATGGCATAAAAATATGATACTTGAGTGTTATGAATATTAATATTTGGGAAATCAATACCAATTTCATTTGAATGAGCAAATATATTTTTTTTATATTTGGTATCATCAATTTAATTTAGCAATTAATTGTAGCAATTTGTTATGTAGATATTTGTATTATTGAACCTCTCTCCTTATCCTAAAGGTGTTATTATTGACACCTGGAAATGGAGATGCTTTGAGGTGTTATAAGAAGTAAATTATTTGTTTTAGATATGTTTTATATTTGAGAATGGTTTAAATTATATTGCAAATATTTTATGGTTACTTGGGGATGTTTGGATGCTTTGATATGCTTAAAATAATTTGTAAAATAGCTCTACATGCTGAAAATTCCAACACAAAATTTAGATAACATTTTCTAATCAAAAATTCCACAAAATAAAGCTAAAACCCCTAAACCAACAGACCTCATCACCACCACTAAATGCTCAATATTTTTTCAATGCATTTTTATTACCAAACCCCAAGCGGACGGTTCAATTGAAAATTAAAAAGAGCACTAGAAAAACTCAATCAAATATTTAAATTTCCGATTCATTTTGCATAAACTGCTTAATTTTCTCCCCATCTTTCTTGCGCTCAAATTACCCTTGACTCATTCACATCACTACAATGGGATACCATTTAATTATTTATTCGATTTTTTTTCTTCTCTTCTGCATAATTTTTTTTCCTGATTCATTCTCTTGATTAAATAAAATTTTTCAATTGACCTCACAGAAGCCATATTTATAGAATGGAGGGGATGAGAAGTGAGCAATAATTGGAAAAATTAAAAGCATACTGCATCAAAATGGGTTTGCGGGGTGGCTATCAATGGGGCTGGTGATTAATTTTACACTGAATTGTTCATTGAGACTCGATGGATATCTCTTTTATTTTAAATTAAACATTAGTGGCTCAATTGTCTTGTTTTGGCACTGCTTATTTTAAATGTGTCATTGCAACTTATTAACCAAGATTTGTAAACTTGAACTATGAAGTTTGGATATTTGACACTAGTGTCTTACTTATTTGAGTAATTTTTTTGAAGTCATTCATTTTTTAAGGATGTTTTGAGAGGCTTCTCCTAATTTTCTGATACAAAATGTGAAACAAATGGTGGATGGCAAGGGGGGGGGGGGGGGGTTGGGGCCTCCTGTTGCTTATTAATAAATTCTTTTGAGCTAATAAAATCAAAGAAATATTGTAATAACCTCAAAAAATTCAGAAAGCAGTTCTTAACCCAATTGCAAAAAATCCTTAGTCTTAGTTTGATCCCAAACCTTCTTGATGACACAAGTAGCACACCACGTCTTGTAACATAACAAAAAATACTGAAAAATACATCAAATGAAAAAAAAAAATCCTCAATGATTTAAACTCAAGAAAATAAAAAAAAAATCAACAAAATATATCCTTAGTCACCCTTTTAGACACCCCTTTGAAATCTCTCGATCATACTGCCAATTACGAACATTCAATATCCAATTCAAACTGAAAATGAAAATGAACATTCATTGAAGTGATGCTTAATACATTTTCATTGTAAACTTTTTATTTTCTCATTCATTGAAATTTCCTCTGCTTACAATCGAATGTATTGAAATAAATTTAATTAAATATTTTTTCATTTTTTTTTTCAGTGCTCGATTGCTTTTAATTGCTACTAATTGGTGAATACAAAAAAAATATTGAGTTGGAGTGAGATTCCAATTTACATAATTACGTAGAGGTGTAAAACGCTTATCATCATCATCCAAATTGTATTCAATACAATTTTATTTATTGTGTCCAGTGAATAATTTATGGATTGTGAAAAAAGTGAAAGAACTGCGTCCTCATTTAAGGTGTGCAAATAAAAGGAAAAGTTTTATTTTATTAGAAAGGAAAAGAGCAGAAAAGAAATCAAATAAAGAGAAAAAAAAGTTTTTTTTCTTCTCAATAAAACATTGATGATAGCAAGAAAGCTATCAAGAAACGGAAGAACTATGAAGTATTTGATTGTCATAATGATGGTCTTTAGCATAAATTACGGTAAGTTATATTGAATGTGAGGGGATCGAGGAGAAAAAAGATACACACGCAAAAAAAAGTCAATAAATTTGTGGTAAAATAAGAAAAAAAAAGAAAGTGACTGGGATTTATGTTGATACCATTTATCTGTATATCTTTTTTTTTACTTACAAGTTTCGGGCACTAGAATGATAAATTTTGTGACAGTTTTTTGTTGTTCTTGAAGTGAATTATTTTCTTGTCCACACACAAAAAGCAGTAAAACTTGTGGTTTTCAATTTATAAGAAGTAGATTAATCTTGTGAGATTATGGGAAACTTTGAGTTTCGATTTTCATTCATGAAAGGTCAATGAACAGTTTATGCCTAGGGTAAGGAGGAACTTAATTACCAACAAACTTTTTTAGTTTTGTGGAGGCAGTGTCGTGAATGACATTCTTGGAAGGAAACAATCAGTTTGATAAATTGCATGTTACTAAAGAGTTATGAAAGCAGAGGCGTAGCCTAGAAAAGCTTAGCTCCTGAATGAACAGCTAGAAGATCAACAAACAGAATTTATCAAGCTTACAAAAAAATATTCAAGCTTGCTCTTAAAATTTTCTTAAAAATTGGCATTGTTCAGTTCCTTGAAGGATTTATCGTGAATCGTCCTTAAGCAGTACTTTACTCGAACAAAAAGTACACGCTCTAGAAATCTTTCTTGGAAATTTTCACTTGAAGACTTGCAAACTTTTCTTAAAATTTTTCTTGAATTTTCTTGTTTTTGAGTTTTCAAAGTGAATTTAATTTATTTGTGGAAATTTTTGACTCAATGATTTTCGTTAATTTAGTGAAAATATAAGAATGACTTTGAGGCAGTTGAGGAGAGTTTTAAATCGCTATGGTAAACATTTAATTTTAGGATTTGGAAAGCGCTAGGGAAACAGCTTAGAATGTAGAGATGGTTGACAGAATGTCTTATAACAAAGAACCACCAAAAACCTTCAACCAGATGTATAACTAGTCGAAAATTTTTAAAAATTCACTAAAGCATGACTTGTCTTATTCACTGGAGTTCAGATTGTTTGTTAAGTATCTCAACTAATCAGTCTATTCGTTGCTATATTCACTATGTTTAGTTTTAATGCATACATACTGATAAGTTCACAAGCTTTGTTTTTAAATCGACAGAAAGCTTCACTTTTTACTTACTTCATATTTTGAAAGGATTTTTCTCAAAGAATAATAATACATTGTGTTTAAACTTATACTTACAAAACTAATAATAACTGAGGTAGATTTTCAAACCAACATACTGTTCATATTCAACATCATCTCATCATCTACAATATTAAATAAGATATTTTCTATCGATGTTTCCCTTTGATTCCATGTCTGATCTCAGCATAAAAATAGTTTCATAAACATTTGCATTATTTCTCCATTTTTCACAAAGTCAAGCTTCTTTGCAACAATAAATCCCTACCTTGAATAGCTTCAGATGTTTTACTTTTTCATCATCATCATCATGATCCCCATGCTATAGCTCTTTTAGTATTCGTTATACATCTTCAAATACCTTTTATGTTCAAGTATCGAATGATAAAGTTGAAATTATATCCTCCCTTAAATTCCTAAGCATAAAACACATATGAGCAGGTTCATGCATATGCAAAAATTCAATATGTATCCTCACAGGAATTTTATTATCTATCCCTTATTGATTTCACTTATAACTCATGAATATTCAAAGAAATAAGACAATCATCCTTATCATTCCTCATTTTGGCGACAGATAAATTTTCTATTTGCTGTGAAACTTTTCTGTCGCCCATACACGAAAAAAAAGAAATGGCAAGAAGAAGAAATCCAAGAAATAAAAGTGAAATAGAATAGAATGAAGGAGAAAATTACCCTAAATTGCTATTTTTTTGCTTCTCTCATTTCACTTTCTATCTTGTTTGTATACATCAACGTAGCATAAAGGCAGGAGGCTCAAAAACGAGAAAAACACTTTTCCACTTCCACTTCTTCATGATTATTTAATTCATAAATTTTCCGGGCTTTGGTCTTTTGATGCTGTGCTTCTATTCCATTCACTCTCATGTGATTTACAAAAAGAAGTGACGGCAGCAACGGAAGAAGAAGAAAAATATGAGCGAACCCAGTGGAAGGAAACGTTCACAGCTCACATACAGAAAATTTGTCTTTAAATCACTCATAAAATATTCATATTTTCATTTTGTGCTGGGAAAAGTTCCTTTGTTCCTCAAATTTATTTGCTATGATAAATCATGCAGATGCTACGTGGTTTGGGATAAGTGGTTTTAAAAGCTTTAGCTATTTCCGATTATTATTTTTTCGGTTAATTGATTATTTAGGGAAAGGAAGAAGATAGGTTTTGATTGGTGAGCTGAAGTGGTTCGGTGGAGAAATGGTTTAGTTGTTCTGTACCTATGTATTCCAATACCGACACATTGATCATCATTTTCGAGATTAGGCAATGGAAAACTTCGCGTTTCCTTTTTCATATCTTATGAACTTAAGATGAAATTTACAGCTTTCTCATGAACCCAAAAGTGCTGCATATGATACAGTTCCTGATCAAAAAATGGAAAAAATGACGAGCAGACAAAAAATTTATTATTGATTGAAAATTCAATGTTAAAGTCATGAGAATCGAACCCACTTATTTCAAACTTAGTTCATAATCTAAATTTTCCATATTCTACTCGCAATATGGCTAAAATCCAAAGACATATCAAACATTACTGCCCAATAAAGTACCAAATTTATTCAAATAGTCTGAATAAATCCAAAAAAAATATTTCCTCGAGCATAATCAAAATTATTTAGATAAAGACATAAAAAACATCGCTAAAACTTAAGCAATTTGAATAGTAGACATATCGCGCTGGCACATGTGGACTGTCATAAAATTTTCTGAAATATTGTAAATCAAGATAGCGACTTTATTTTTATGTAGACTTAATATTACGATCAATGAAAACGAAAGGGAGAAAAGAGAAGAACTGCGGACATAAATGTCTTCGTAAGCACAAACCACATGAATTATCAAACATATCCGAATTCGTTCAAGTATTTTCATACTTCATTAAATCTCACAATATCTTTAGCTCAATCTCACTGGGATTTCTTCATGGTTTACATTATAATCATAAAATTCACAGTGAGAAGGCATTCGGGATGTGGAATAAGAAGAAAAATTTAAAGAAGTAAATAAATTTTCCTTATTTCTACTGTCTTGTTCTTACCATGTCTTTCACTCTCATTCCACTGTGAGTTGTGACCAAATATTCGATAGTCCGCCTGACGACGAAATTATCTTCTACGATTCTTTTACTGAAATCACATAAATCCTATAGATAGAATTAGAGAGAATATGTGACTATAAGCGATGGGGGATGTTCTACAACATTTGGCGTTTTTTTATGTGCCGTATCTATGGTGCATGCGAATAAATATCAAACGAAAGCCAGTACGATACAATGAACATGCTTTTTATGGGTATCGCTCGTTTTGCTCGTTTTAAAAGAAACATATTGTTGTGTGGATGGATGAAAAAAAAGAAACAATGACAAAGAAGTTGTATTGTAAAAGGCAAGAAAAAGGTGCGTTGGTCATGATGGTCGTTCCTTATTATCTTGATCTTTAATTTAAAAATTTCTCTTAAAAGCTTTACTCAAGTGTTTTTAGCTTGTAAGAAATTGTTTACTAAAGTAAACAGTTTATTTAAGGATAGAAGATATTTTATGGTTTTTGAAGTAAGTTTGGATTACATTTTTGGACTTCTTTTTTGTTGAGTTAATTTTAGAAGGACTTTAAAGTTGATAAAAAATTTTTATTTTTCAGAATGTTTTAAAAAGAGTGTTAGGGACTTTTAAGGTTGAGCTGAGCATTGAGAATTGTTTGGGGGGTTGTTCCATAAAACGGAAATTTTTCAATTTGCCAGAGTTTTTGGCACTTTTAAAAAAATTAACCTAATGCTAGCTTTGTGAAAGCAATACTCGCGATTCAAATGACATCAATGTTCTAATGGTCACTTACTTTATTTATCCGAATGTTGACGTCCTTCAGTTATCCAAACACATACGTAATGTTCGATTGGTTCCGATGTCTTAATATACAAATATAGTCACAAAAAAATCCAATGAAATTTCGTTTATTCAAAACAAAATCAAGTCCAAAAGCCATTCCAACGTTCCATCATCAAATCTGTTTCTAATTTAAAACATTACAAAGATAATTCAAGCAAATGTCACATGCTAGGGGAGATTTTTCAATTTATTTCACCATGTCCGACAAGTTCAAACAACGTTTCAGTTGATGACATATCAGCGACAGAGGGAAAATTCATCTAGACCCATAAATCTTTCTACCATTTCTAAATTATGATCATTTCAATCAGTCAAAGTGAATCCAAAAACCTTATTTTGAGCTTTTATCCGACTAGCAATTCCACAAAACAAAAAAAAAAAAATAAAAACACAAAAGGGTATGTGCTAGGCAATAAATCTTTCAAGCTATGCGCCACTGCCATTACTTTGATGCACGCCTAACAATAGCGCGGGATGTTAGCAACAAAATAATAACAATGAAAAAAAATTTTAATCATCATCAAAGCTTGAAAAACAGTAAAAAGGGAGGCAAAAGATAGAAAATAACAAATCGATAATGATAATAAAGCCAGCATCATTATATAACGTACACAAACATCCATATTGAATGACTCACATGATATAAATTATGTGTGTGCGCTTGGCATTATATGAGACACATATAGAACACACAGAATCGTCGTAATATATTGCAATGAATTGATAGATAGAATGAGAGATTGCAAAATAATGCGAATAGCGATAAAAAAAACGGAGAAGAAAGCAAAAATGGAGAGTTGAGAGTTGAGAGGCGGACTTTGTATGAGATACGTGTGAATGGCTGACATGGTGTGAAAATTTGTTGCAGATCATACATTATATAAAATAAAGGACGTTAGCTATTAGGGATTCTGGGAACGTATCG